AAGCAAGTTTTGAACCCAGGTCCTCTGGCTCCAGAGCTTTTGCTCTTTGTAGTAGCTGTCAGGCTGAGCCAGCTTGCCCCCATCTTGCATCCAGGTGTTCTCTCTCTCCCAATGCCATTTCTGCCCTTTCCTTTCCCCACTTTGTTGATTGAAAGATGGGCTAAATTATTATTAGTTAAGTCTAGTTGCATCAGTGCAAAGGTAGGACTAACTCCATGATGGTCAAGGAGGGGAATGCTAGGAGATTTCTGTCCTGAACTGCAGATGTTTATGTCTGGAATCCATATATTATTGGCAACCCGATAGGAGAATTATACTTAAAATAATGACATCTCCAATAGAAGATTTGTGTAATGAGAAGAGCAGAAAAGCCCAGGGATTCCTTCTTAAAGTGCTTAAGGCTTAACATTGAATTCTATCCATCTTGTTTTTGTTCTGTATATAATTCTGTGTTCTGTGGCAAACTCTATTGACTGTGTCCTTTCAATAGAGGAAAGAAGGGAGGTATTAATTCATAAAGTAAATTTATCAAACATTTAAGTTACTGCTGTAGACAAAATATGATAGCTTCTGTTCCTGTTTAAAAGAAGAATTGTCACAACCCTAGGCAGTGTGGGAGGGGGTGGTGGTGAGGGGGAGGATTGGGCAATCCTTTTCCTATGCTGGGATCTCAGAAATTACTGTATCTCTCTGTGAATTATTTCCTCAGGCTCAGAGGATAGTGATAATTCAAAAAGATAGAAGAGCAAGGCAAATTCTCTTGGGCTGCAGTAATTATTTGTATGCCTGTCTTTATCTTGTATGAAATTAGAAATTGCTTGAGGGCACGATCTAACTTTTTCTTAATTTGAATCGCCAGTGCATAGCATAGTCACTTACTTACATTCAGATACTCAGTGGATCTGTGACCTCATCAAATAGATCTCAGGCATCCATCCCTGACATCCTGCCCAACTCATCTATGGCCTTTCATAAGTCTGCCACAGGGTCTCCAAACAACACATCTTATTTTCTTTTGACATCCTCAGGATACCAGTAGAATACATGGTCTATCTACATGCAGCGGTTATCTCTTACTCTGTCCCTGTGACCAACCCATCTATTTTTTCAACCATACGTTATTTTGACAACATTCTTTGTTTAGGTCTTTGTAGTTCATTATGGGCTGTGTCCTGCTCACACCCACTGTGTGCCATTCCATTCCCTTTTGAGTGATATTTATTTTTTTAGTTCTTCAGAGACTAATGTTCCATGCTAGGACTTGTGGCAGATGGGCCAGAAGCTCCTTGATTGTAAAGACTATTTCATTTTGCCTTTTTATCCACAGCACTTAACATAGTATCTAGTAGACAGTAGTCACTTAATAAATATTGGCTGATTGATTTCTATAACAATATTTGTAGAATATTGGTGTTGAAAAGCCTTGCTTATAAGAGGTATATAGCAAATATTTTAAAAATTGATATGAATGAATAGGAATTGACAGGAAGGATTAGTGAAAGATATTATAAAGAAAGAATAGGTAATTTGTTTACTAGCTTTCAGGTATGAGGGAAAAAGAAATATGAGATGATTTAGTTTTTTAAATGAGTATAAGTCATAAGGAGGCAGATTTCAACTCACTGTTAAAGATAAAATTTCCCAATTACCTTTATCAAAAAATGGAATGGATTTCCATATTTAGTAGTGAATTCCATATGTACAAGCAAAAGCTGGGGTGAATATTTGTCAAGGATGCTGAATTTCCACATAACGTTCATGTTAACATCTTCGGTTTCTTGCCACTAAGCTAGCAGTTGCCTATAAGAGGAAGCCTCTTGCATCATAAACCTCACCACATGGTTTCTTCATTATTTAAAACTTCCTGTTGGATTTAGGTGCTTGATAGTTCAGGGAGGGATCTTGCTGAACTTTAACAGAAAACTGAAGGTGTCACTTTAAAATTTTGAGAGTCTATTATGTCGTAGGACCCTAGCTCGTCAAATTTGTTGCTTTGTTATTCTTGAATATTGTTTATTTTACCAATCTGATCTTCCTGTCCTTTTGTTTGTGAATATTAGCCAACACACCTCCTTTAGAATAGTAGGAGAGTGTCTTTCCCACTTGACATATAAGAAACTTATTTTAGCTTACATCTGTATTGAGTAAATGACCAGATCTTTATCTTGGGAAATGATTAGCTTATGCTAGTGATTGCAGACCGGAAAATTTGTCAATAGTGACCTGTGGCTATCACTAAAAGGCTGGGATAAGACATACTCTTGCCTTAGGTTCACTGAATCCTAGGTTGAGAACAAGTTCTTTGTATTGTTGGTACATCAGATAGAAAAGAACTATTATATTCTCCATATAAGTTTTAGTGTCCCGTGTATTTAAAAAATACCTCAGTTCTTCCATTGTTTTAGGATGATTGGTTTTACTAAAATATGACAAATTTCAAATTGATTTTATATTCAGAGGCTATTAAAATAGCTTCTGTATTTTGCCCTATATCTACCAACTTAAAACATTTTTAGATATCTAACAGCTGTCTGCCTTGCACCTGTTTGAGAAAACTTTTCAGTTATACCGCTGCTTTATTTTTTTAAGGCAATTGGGGTTAAGTGACTTGCCCAGGGTCACACAGCTAGTAAGTTTCAAGTGTTTGGTCTGAGGCCAGATTTGAGCTCAGGTCCTCCTGACTTCAGGGCCGGTGCTCTGTCCACTGCGCCACCTAGCTGCCCTACTGCTACTTTTGAGTTAGAAATCTTTTAAAAGAATTGAAAGCCTTTTGAGTGGCTCTTTTCTGACCTTCTGTAATTCCCAGGCAGCACTAGGGAGGAGGTCAAGCCAAGATGTCAATCACCCCTCCCCCCCCTTTTTTTCTTTTAAGCACTAAAGAATAAAAGTATACCTAGGCTTTGTATTGTGTATTACTTAGCTCCCTTTGTAATCCTTAAAGACAGTGAGATTCCTTCTCTCCATATTATCATGTAAGCACTTCATCATCCTTTTGCCTCTTATAGTTTCTCAAATATATTTACCTTTCTGGTTTTCTCTTGTCTTCTGTCTTTTCCTTTTCGATTTTAATTTCAACTTGGGTCTTTCTATCAAGAATGCTTGAACATTCTCAATTCTATCAATAGTTCACTTTCCTCTCACAGGATTATATTTAACTAAGTTACACTTGGTTTGTAAGCCTTTTATCTTCTGCCATTTGGAATATGGTATTAAAAATTTTCTCTTCATCATAGTTGTTGGCACCAGAGTTTTATGTAATTTTGATTGGTTTCTTGGTACATGACATTTATTCTTGCTCAGAATATTTTTTCTTTGACTTGGAAACTCTGGATTTTGCTATAACATTTCTGGCTGTTTTCAGGATTTTTTTTTCCCCTTGCCTAGGCATGATTGATAGATTCTTTCTGCTCTCACTTTGCTCTGTGGGTCAATAGATATGGGTTTGTTTGTTTTTTAACTTTTTAACTTTTTGTATTTTTTAACTATATCTTAGGGTTCTGTTTGGTTATGGTTTTCAAGAAGTTCAATCATGATCATATTATCTCTCCTCAACCTGTTTTCCATGTCAGTTGTTTTTGCTAATATATGCCTTATATTTTCTTTTTCCCCCTAATCTTTTGATTTTGTTCCAGTATTTCTTATTGTCTTCTGTAGTCGTATAATTCTGATTGCTCCATTCTATTTTTCAGGGAGTCAGTTACTTGGGTAAGGTTTTCCATCTTCTGTATCAAGCTGTTTACTTTCTTTCCTTGTTTTTTTCTTATTTTCTGTCCTGGTGTTTTTCTTCCAAGACCTCTTCAGGTTTAGTTTCATTTTTTTTCTTTGCTTCATTTCTTCTATATACTCTTACAGTCCTTGTAAGTCATTTTTTTTTTCCTCTCAGAAGTTCCGCTTTTATTTGTTTGTAGTTACTCTCTTCATCTAGGTTAACCTCTTGATCATCTCCTAAACCATAATATTTCTTCATTTAGATTAGTTTTTTCTTTTGTTTACTCATATTTTATAGCCTTAGTTCTTATGTTGAAGCTTTGTGCTGGGTCACTTGGGGCTTTTGTCTTACCCCTCTGTAGTCTGGATGCCTCTGCTATTCTGAATGAGGCTATTTCTAGACACTTATCTTTGCCTTACTCCCTAACATTTCCTTTAGTTTCCTAACAGTTTAGTTCAAATGTTGGCCTCTTTCTTCTTGCAGAATCCCCAACTGAGAGTTGATTTCATTCCTTGCTGTGACCCTGACTAGGGAGTTGGAGAATCATACTGGTCTCAGGCCTTCTGCAAGATCCCTTGGTGCAAATGCCAAGGTTCTGACTTGGCCTTATCACTTGCCATGTCTCCCAGTTCTCTTGAGTAGGCCATGGACTGTCTCTATCTTCTTGGAGTGACCACTGATTGTCCCCTGCTTCTGTTCTGACAAGCCAGAGCTGAGATTTTGTTTCAGGCCTGCTTAATAGAGCTCCCATTACTTTATGAGACCCCCCTGACGCATTTGGTCAGAAAATGTGGTCACCATAGTAGTCACCATAGTTTTATAGAAAAATGATAGCAGTTGGGCTTTTTCCCCCCCAAAGTAAATTTGTCCACACTAAATTTTAGACACAGAATATTAGACACAGAATAATGGAAATGAAGCCCGTTCAATTTTTTTTCATTAATGATTTATATAGCACATTAAAGTTTACAACTATTTTACTCACAACAACTCTGTGAGGCAGATACTTTAATATTTATTGCATTTTACAAGTGAGAAAAATAAGGCTTAGTGTGAGGTTGACTAACTTACACACAGATAGGCAATCAGGTAACCAAGAAGTATGAGCGCTGATACGTGAAGCCAGGTCTTCTGATGCTGATTCTGAGTCAAGTATTATGTCCAAGTCATTATGTATTTTATCTTCTGGTAGCATTCTTATTTTTTAGGGAGAGGGTAGTGTTGGTGAATCTAAATTTTTGAGAAAGATTTAACTTCTTAATAATTCTTGTTATATTTTCTATTTCTCCAGGTTGTGTACGTTAAAATGAACAAATTACGGCAGAGTTTTAGGAGAAAGAAAGACGTCTATGTTCCTGAGGCCAGTCGTCCACATCAGTGGCAAACAGATGAAGAAGGTGTTCGTACTGGAAAATGTAGTTTTCCAGTTAAGGTAAGAATCATTGTTATGGTAGAACCTATTTTGTTGTCACAGCTATCTGGCAAACTACTTGTATATATACGAAAGGCAAATGAGATAAAAAATAAGATAAAATCAGGTATTTATTTAATAGCTGAGACCATGTGTGAGAGATGCAGGTCGGGTGTCTATCCTAAGTTCAGTATTCATAGGTGTGCCTCAGGAGGAGAGGAGTCTTCAGGTTGCCGAAAGAGGGGCAAACTAGCCTAGGTCTGAAATGGAGAAGGTGAAAATCCTCTGCTAATCAGTAGTGGGATTAGGCCTTGTCAGAAGCTCCTGCATTTCTAGCCTGGGTGAGATGGGGAGACTCTGTCTTTAAAAAAGGGAGGAAGGTTACATTAAGGTTTGTTTTAGCTCTGACATCCTACGAATTTGTTTATTATAGGGAACTTCCTAAGGTGGAAAAGCAGATTGATAGGTTTTAGAAAGAAGGATTAGAACAAAAAGGATTCTTTTTTTTATTAACCCTGTGGTTCCTTCTAAATGTATTCACAAACTTTGTTTTGTTTTTAAATTTTTTTCATAAAGTACCAGCAATTTGGAAATTTGTTCTTCAGATATTCCCTGTGCTAATCATTTTGTGAAGGAAGTAAAAATAATCTTTAGCTTCAAAGACCTCTGTGTTATATTAAACTTGATTAGTTAACATTGATTCACTTTAGAAGTTTTAGTCAAATGAAGCACCTTCAAGAAAGATTCAAGGTTTAATATTAAACTGATGAGTTAAATCTTTTGTATTGATTTATATACACGCTAACTAGTGATGTAGCATTGTATAACTGTGAGTCTTCTTTTTCATATTCTTGTTAACTGTCTCTTAAAAAATCCAAATGACAAACTCAGAATAAGGTTTCAGAAATTAAAAAAAAAATCTATTACGTATTAGAAAAATACATATTATTTGTTGGGTAGGCAGTCTATCAATAGTTATATCTTGAGTCTGTGCTACAGTTGACTTTGATGAAAAGGAGAAGAAATGAGACCACACACAGTCTGTTTTTTTAATAGCAGTGTTCCCCAGGTAATGCTGTAGAACAAGAATCGTGGATGACAGGAATCATGGACAGAAAATGAGGTATAACAGGTAGATAAGATAATCCAGGTGTTTTACACTGATATATGCAGAGCATGAAAATAACCAGAGGAAGGTGTCCTGCATCCTAGGTGAAGCCTTTATGGAAATACATGGATAGGAATCACACTGGATGAAAAAGTGTAACTAGGTTGTAATCTCCACTTGTAGAGCAAGTACCTATGGTAATGAGATCATGGATATATATTCAGTATTAGAATATATGTGTCAAATGAATATCTTGTTTCATTTTCTTTCCATTCATTTGCCATAGATCTAGTTGATCTAAATTTAATTTGTGAAGAATTTTTTAGTAGAAAGCTACTTCTGGAATATTAAGATTCTAATTGAAATCCAGAGCGGTACGTGAGAATAAGGAAGCCACAGCCTGTTTTCTGAGAACTAATCACCTACAGTGATACTGATCCATTAAAAATATTTGGCTTAAGGGTTAAGTAAAATATAGTCCAACATAAGTATTAGTTATATTTATAAATTAGTCCAATTATTTTAGCACACTATTTAAAAGTTTTAAAAGTTAGAATTCAGGTATTTATAGATAGTGAATGGATTGCATAGCATTCTGAAGTCAAATGGTTCTAAGGATCTATTTAGAAATATGTGATTTTTAGTTGTTTAACGTGAGGCAGAAGATAACGCACTGTTTTCTTCTAATTCTCACGTGCACAGGAAATTGAACCAGAGGAGATGGACTTCATAAAGTGGAAATTAATGTTATAAATTGGAGATAGCTTACTGATTTAGAGGCAGTCTTAGTCAATTGTCTTCTTGAAATCCCTTCCCTGTTGCTTTTATCAAAAACAATTCTGAACCTGAAATACACTTTTTTATAGGTCTGAAATAGGTTTATACTGAATATACCTGGGTCAATGGTAGCTTGCTTTTTATCACTCCTAGAAAACATTCAGTTCCTTTCTAGCCTTTACTTTAAGTATGTTTAGTGAGTGAGCTACTTATAAATTAGTTTGCTTGGGAAGTAGATCTGACTTAGGGTGAATTGGGAAGACTGATCTGTAGTTGTCCAAGCAAGTCCAATTCAGCCTTCTTTGAAGTCAAGGTCAAAGTGTAGCTTCATGAGGCAGAGGGTGTGGTGAGTCTGAAGGTTTATGAAATGGATGCTGTTTCAAGTTTAACATTTCAGTGGGTTTGAACCTTTAAAACTTCGCTGGTCTAGAGCATTACCTTTGGAACTGGGAACTATTATATCTTCTAAAGCTTGAGGGACAAAACTATATCTGTATAAGCATTTGCTTGGGTGTATTTGCTTTGTTATAGAACTGTTTTTAATCTTTGTTTTCAGGTGATTTAGAAACAGTCCATAATGTTGTCAGCACCAAAAAAATATATGGCAGTTTTATTTTGCATTACAATTTGAAACATTGTGGGTTACTAATCCTATATACCAACTACACCATTGGGTAAATCATTTCTGGGCTACAGAAGTATCACTTCTGATATTTGGCATAAATTACAAGAGAACTTGAAAGTAATTTAATCTCTGCTGTGTATGTTGACGTTCTAGTGATTAGGTATAGGGAAAGACTGAGTATTAGAATAATATAGTAAATAGTTAAACAGGTTAAGATTTTTGGATATGTTCACAAAGCTGTAACTTGTATCTGCTTGCTGTTCTACAGGTTAGCATTATAGTGGCAACTCTTATTTTCAGAGATAAAGAATTATGTTATAATTGAAATAATATCTGCCTCAGGACTTATGTTTGCATTATCAATTCAGTTATACTAAGATTCTCCCTGTATTTGGCTACTCGCATTTATTTGGTAATAATTTTTGTTGCCTATTAAGAGACGAGGAACAATGCAAGGCCATTGAATTGTGATCCAGTAAAGGTGTTTGGTCATCTGACTGTATATAATGATGTAGATTAAAATGAACACTATTGAATAGATTGTGGAGGTCAGATTTATCTTCAGATTTTGTGAAGATTTGGCTTAAGGGTTAAAAAAAATAAAATATAAGGGGAAGGTAGGTGGCACAGTGGATAGAGCACCAGCCCTGGAGTCAAGAGGACCTGAGTTCAAATGTGGTCTCAGACACATAAAACTCACTAGCTGTGTGACTCTGGGCAACTCACTTTACCCCAATTGCCTCACCAAAAATATATGTATATATAGTCCAACGTAAGTATTAGTTATATTTATAAATTGGTCCAATTATTTTAGCACACTATTAAATGAAGTGGTAATTATTTGCTGCTTTGGTTCAGAACTATACAAAACATGCTACCTAATTTTTAATAGTTGCTAGGAAGCATTTCAGCGTGATCAAATAGGGTTAACCAGATGGAAAGTTGAATGTATAAGCAGTAAAAGTACATACTTGTTCTGCCTTTTAGGTCAGATCTTATCTGTTTGAGTGACCTGCCAGATGGCATTTGGGGACCAGAACTTTCAAGGATTAAAAATGCAATTTTGTGTGTTACACAAAATAGACATCTGATAACCATACAGCCAAGAACTTTCAAAACAGAACTCAGACCAATTTCATCTTTAAGCTAACTCATACTGGTAATGATTTATTCAGTGGTCTAACATATGTGCTTAACATATTTTGGTGCAGGATGTTGGTAATAGATCCTTTTTACTTGAATTTTCTCCCCTGAAAACTGCTCATGCACGTAGCATGTTTTCTTATCTCCGTAGCATTTTTTATAACAATGGAAGTGCATACTTTATGAAAACATAAGAATGGAACAGACAGGCTTTCACAGGCTCTTTCATTTCTGTTGTTTTCTTTGGTATGCTGAAATTCTTCCGAGTAGTTAGCTGGATGGTGTTGGAATCAGGAAACATGGGTTTAAATCCCACTTCATATATTACTAGTTGTGTGATTTTTGGAGAAGTCGCTTAACTTCTCTGAGGCTGTTGTGAAGAAAGTGCTTTGCAAACCTTTGAGACATCATATAACGGCTTCATGAAAAATGTCCTGCATATAAAGTCCAAAGAAAAGAAACGTTTTCTATCAATGGCAAAGTTCTAAAATTTTTATTAATAGCCAAAATGCAACAGCAAATTTCTATTAATAGCCAACAACAACAACATGCAACAACAGGCCCATTTTATCAGTCAGAATTCTGAGAGCCTTCTCAGTGAAATCCTAAGTTATCCGTAAGAGAGTAATCTCATCATGTGTGATGGACAAACAAAATGGATGAAAGACACATCTTGTCAAGATTATTGTCCTGATTATGCTGGTGGTCTTAAATGGACCACACCATGCAGTATCTTGTACAGCACAATAATAGTGTATTTTAACCTTGTGTGTTTCAAGTTACAAACTAGTTCTTACTGCTATCAATTCGAAAGCTAATCTTTTCACCTGTAATACAAAACAAAACTGTAGCAACTGTATAACATCTATGTTCATAGAATTATGGTAAGAAGAATCTTAATGATCATCCAATTCAAACTCATCATTCAAATGAAGAAACTGAGCTGGTGAAGTCATTTGCCCAGAACTGGGAGTAGAACTCAGGTTTCTTTGCACTTGGTTCAGCACTTTTTCTTTTGTATCTTACTGTTTCATCATCTTCCCCTCAAACTTATGCATGGCATGGAAGTGGGGGTGGGTTGAGAAAGGTCAGGGGGAGAAAATGTGTGTCTCCAGCGAATAGGAACTTTGAATGTATTGTTATTGTTGAATATTAATATAGGGAATATGAAAGTTTGAACTTAAAGTACAGGGAATGCCTTTTTTTTCTCTTTGATTTGCCATATCCTTGAGGGCAGGAGCTAGGTGTGAGCAAAAGTGTAGCAACAATTAGTTATAATTCGTACATTAGTGCAAAGTACTTTGCATTCAGTGGATCTTAGTAAAATACTTTTTTTTTTTAAATGAGCTACCTTATACCTAGAAAAAT